TTACATTCGAAACAGACAGACAAACAGACAGACAGACAGACAGACTCCTCTTAGTCACGTCTCTCTCACACACCCACTCATTATGTTGCCTCATTATGCTGCCTCATTATGCTGCCTCATTATGCTGCCTCATTACGTTGCCTCCTTATGCTGCTACATAATGTTGCCTCATTATGATGCCTCATTATGCTGCCTCATTATGTTGCCTCATTATGTCGCCTCATTATGTTGCCTCATTATGTTGCCTCATTATGCTGCCTCATTATGTTGCCTCATTATGCTGCCTCATTATGTTGCTCATTATGTTGCCCTCATTATGCTGCTCATCATGTTTTCGTACGAATTATTTTATGTAGCGTAAATAAATTGTTTGTGGTATGTATCTCCTTTCATTTTCTCCGCTCTTTCTTCTATTTTGATATCTCTCTCTCCGTCTATCTAATTTTATTCATACCACCGACCTGTCTGTCTGCCTGTCTGTACAGTATTTCCCCAGCAGTATTCCCTACACCATACTGTTGACTTTTTCCTGCTAATACCTACTTGTCTCCTGTAAAGAATTTTTCCCTTTAACATCAACACAGAAAAGGATGGAGTGTTGACCCGCGTCTGAAACCTCGTTGGATTCCTTGTTAATTTTAATTACTTAAACTCCTACTTAATTAAACATCTAATTAATAAAATACCTATTATAATATGAATTAATAAAATAATGGCTTAATGTAGATATTATTTAGTATTCTGTTTGGGATATTAAGGAATTTGGTTACATATGCCAAGTCGAAGTCAGGTGTAACGCGTTCGGACTCAGTGTTTACAAACACAAGAGGTTGTTTGTCGGAAGAGAACTGGAGGGTGGGGATCTCAATGGGTTGGTTCTGACTTACACTATGAACTATGCATGACGAAACTCTTCTTAAGAACGCAAACAAGATTAAATTCCTGACCCAACCTAACCTAACCTAACCTAACCTAATCTAACCAGCATTTAAACTACATTATCTCGGACAAAAGAAACGAGGAAATTATTTGAGAGTTTTTAGTATAAATGAAGTTAATTAAGAAATGTTGTACATAATAAAGTTATGAATGCTTTTTGTTGTGTTCTTGGAAATATTTTAGAACGCTTTTTGTTATTCTTTTATGAAGGCGTACGATCGTTAAGACATACTTTATGTAGCTAAAGAAAGTACTGTTAAATATTTGTATAAGCTGAGGTGTGTATAAGCTGGGGTGTGTATAAGCTGGGGTGTGTAATCTTCAGGTGAACCATATATTTATTACATTATATAAAAATAACTAAGTAGCTTTTATATTCTACTAAGAACATGAATATTTACATGTATATCAACGTAAAGTAAATATTATGTATACTACCAGGTCAACACATGTATACTACCAGGTCAACACATGTATACTACCAGGTCAACACATGTATACTACCAGGTGAACACATGTATACTACCAGGTGAACACATGTATACTACCAGGTCAACACATGTATACTACCAGGTCAACATGATACTACCAGGTCAACACATGTATACTACCAGGTCAACACATGTATACTACCAGGTACACTCCAGCAGGTAATACCATAAGAATATTTACGTGTACACAGAGCAGGTTGATAAAGTCTCTACCCACCTGTAATGTTTGGCTTAATATCCGCGGTGTTAATATTTGTTCAAGGCAAAATATTATAGAAAAATACTCCTTTGTTTTTAATCCTTGCTTGTGTACGAAGTGTGTGTGTGTGTGTGTGTGTGTGTGTGTGTGTTTTCTTTTCCATTTTGTTTTTTCTTCTTTCTCTTTTATTTCCCTCTTCTCTTTCCCATCTTTTATCCATCCCTTCTTTCTTTCTTCCCCATAATCTTCTCATCTATTTCTCCACCTTCTCTTCTATCCCTCTCACTAACCTCCCTCTGTCTCTCTCAACTACCTTCCTCTCTCTCTTCCTCTCGCCTACTTCCCCTTCCCTCTCATCCTCTAACCTATCACATTCTCATCATCTCACCTACCTCTCTCTTTCCCTCTCACCTTCCACCCCTCTCTCCCTCTCACCTTCCACCATCCTCCTTCTCACATTCGTCCCTCTCCATCACTCTCACCTCCCTCCCTCTCACCTTCCTCCCTCTCACCTTCCTCCCCCTCTCACCTTCCTCCCTCTCACCTCCCCCCCCTCTCTCCCCTCACCCTAAACCTTAACGTTAAAAGAAATATGTACATGATCTCATAGCTTACCTCTCCGGTGTTTTAAAGTCACTCTCCCTCACTCTCCCACACCTCCCTCACCTCCCCCACTCTCCCCACCTCCCACACCTCTCACACTCTCACTCTCTCCCACTCCCCCACACTCTCCCACACTCTCCCTCACTCTCCCACATCCCCCACACTCTCACTCTACCACATGCTTCTCTCCCCTGGTTCATTACCTTCCTCTTACCCAGGCTGTTCTAGTTCCTGTCTGTCTGTCTGTCTGTCTGTCTGTCTACATAATCTATCTAACTCTCTCTATCTTTCTCTGTCTATTTCTCTCTCCCATTATTGTAATATTAGACGGTAATATAGTAACCCGGGACAGACTTGTTATCTTAAGCCTCGTAAGAAAATAGAAAGAGAAAAACAGAGAAAAACGAAAGAAAAGACAAAGAAAACTAAAGAAAAAAACAAAGAAAACGAAAGAAGAAACAAAGAAACGAAGAAAAACTAAGAAAATATCCCAAACGAAACCCCAAACAAAAAGTAGATAAAAGAAAAGAGACAAATAAACTAAATATAAAAAACTCAAGAAAATGGGAAAAGTAACCACAGAAAACGGGAAGAGAAGGAGGAAGAAGGGGGTGTAACTGCTATAAACCCTTCACACTGTAACTCCTGTATAAACACCCTCAAGGACAGCATGAATAATTAAAACTTACATACAGCGTGTATTATTCTCATCCCAGACGGTAGTGTAGACAGTGTAGACATGGTGACGTAGTTTAGACAGATGGTGGTGGTTTAAACAGTTTTAGATAGTGTTGACAGATGGCGGTTGATAGTTTAGACAGTTGGTAGTAGTTTAGACAGTTAGACAGATGGTGGTGGTAGTTTAGACAGTTTTAAACAGTGTAGAAAGGTGGTGGTGGTGGTAGTTTAGACAAATGGTGGTGGTTTAGACAGATGGTGTGGTGATTTAGACAGCTGGTAGTACTTTAGACAGATGGCATAGTGGTTTGCACAGCTGGTAATAGTTTAGACAGATGGGCATGGTATTTTAGACAGATGGGTATGGTATTTTAGACAGATGGGTATGGTATTTTAGACAGATGGGTATGGTATTTTAGACAGATGGGTATGGTATTTTAGACAGATGGGTATGGTATTTTAGACAGATGGGTATGGTATTTTAGACAGATGGGTATGGTATTTTAGACAGATGGGTATGGTATTTTAGACAGATGGTATGTAAACAAGTAATATCTTCTATGCTAATTCAAGTCAACAAAGGGAAACAAAGTGAACTATAACGCAACATTATACAGTGGCTAGGATAATTAAAACAAGTTTAGAACACATTTACCTTTTACCTGACTCTGTTAATCCAGGTAAATCCAACACTTTCTAGCGAACACTTTCTAGCGAACACTTTCTAGCGAACACTTTCTCTAGCGTTCACTTTCTCTAGCGTTCACTTTCTCTAGCGAACATTTTCTCTAGCGAACACTTTCTATCGTTCACTTGGTGTCATTTCGTTTAGCTGAAAGAGAGAGAGAATCATTTAATATACTAAAAAATAACTCTAATATCCCCACCCCCATAAAATGTAGATAATTTAATGATGAATAAATTAATAAAAAAAATAGAATTATATATATTAAATGAGATATAATGAGATAGATTGTTATATAAGTGAATGGGAGGATGAAAAGACAAACACGATTATTAAAGGAAACTAATTAATTCTGGAAGTCATTATTCGGTCGAAGGGATTGTAGTGTCTTTACCTGTCTGTGATGAGGAGGAGGTAAAATTATTATCCCTTGAGTACGATAACCCCCTTGAGTACGATGATTTGAGTACGATAACCCCTTGAGTACGATGACTTAACTTTCTTAAATACGATAACTTAACCTCCCTGATAACTTAACCTCGTGATTTTGATGAGTTAACCCTGTGAGTACGATGACTTAACCCGTGAATAGGATGACTTATCCCCTTGTTGGTGAGGACTTAACAGCTTGAGTACAATGACTTACCCCCCCTTGATTACGATAACTTAACCCCTTGAGTACGATAACTTAACCCCTTGAAAGCAATGACTGAAACCCTCTACTAGACGATAAAAATGTATAAAAACTCATATCCGGAGCTATTCATTTTTTAGAACGTCACTTGACCATTTAATCTCTGTTTGAAGTTGTTTATCAGTTACAGTCAGGAGTTTTTACGTAGGAATGCCCTAAGAACGCGGCTTCAGTAGGTTGTGAGGTCCACTTTAAGGCGACCAGGTAAATTTTGTTGTTAGTGAAGAACGACTTTCTTTATATTCGATAATGTGAGTCGAGGCTCTCTCTCTCTCTCTCTAGTTGATTCGCTCTTATCTTCTGGCTTTCGGTCTGTCTCTTTCCTTTCTATTATCTTTACTCTCTTTCTCCTTTTTTTCTTTATCTCTCTCTCACTCTCTCTCTCTCTGACTCTTTCTGTCTGTCAGTCTCTTCTTCTCCCCTCTTTCTCCCGTCCTACTTCCTATTGTGTCTTCTTCCTCTTCTTCTTCTCCTATCCTTTCTCCCTTTTTATCACTGTTCCTTTTTCATCTACAGACACGAAAATGGAACGCCCTTCTTCACAACCCACCATATTTATTAGTCTTTCTCCTCTTCCTCCTCTTTTTCTTTCATTTCTCCATCTTCTCTTCTTTTATCAACCATTCTTTCTTCTCCTCCTCCTTCTTCAATCAATCCATCTCCACGTTATCTTTTCCCTTCATTTATCAACTTTTCTCTCTCCTCCTACAGATGCTGAAATGGAAATACTTGAACAGGAGCCTCGTTATAGACCAGAGGACATCAACGCACTCTGCCGCACCACGCACTTCACCCGGCCGGAGTTGCAGCGTCTCTACCGGAGCTTCAAGGACCGATGCCCTACTGGAGTGGTCAGGGAGGACGCCTTCAAGGAGCTCTACTTCCAGATGTTCCCAAAAGGAGGTCGGTGATTGGTTGTTAAGAGGGGCACTAGACGGCTGTGATTGGTCGAACGGGGTTGGTTGATAAGGGGTGGTAGGCTGTGATTGGTGGAAGAGGGTTGATTGGTAAGGGTTGGTAGGCTGTGATTGGTGGAAGAGGAGTGGTTGGTAAGAGGTAGTAGGCTGTGATTGGTGGAAGAGATCTGGTTGGTAAGTGGTAGTAGACTGTGATTGGTGGAAGGGATCTGGTTGGTAAGTGGTAGTAGGCTGTGATTGGTGGAAGAGATCTGGTTGGTAAGTGGTAGTAGGCTGTGATTGGTGGAAGAGATCTGGTTGGTAATAGGTGGTAGGCTGTGATTGGTGGAAGTGGGTTGGAGGTTAGGGCTGGTGGAGAGGATTGGTGGAGAGGGTTGGAGGTTAGGGCTGGTGGAGAGGATTGGTGGAGAGGGTTGCATGGGTCCTAACACACATACTGTACATCCTAGCAGCAGCAGTATGCAAATGACCTTATGTATTTCCTTCTTTAATTCAACCATTATGCTTTGTTGAGTTCTCTTTGTCTGTATGTCTGTATGTCTGTCTGTCTATCTGTCTGTCTGTCTATCTATCTGACTGTCTGTCTGTCTGTCTGTCTTTCCACTAGACATCAAAGAAATAAATAAGCATAGAGAAGGGAATGAGATACTAACAAAATAAAAGAGAGAATGAAAGAATAAATAACAGACACACAGACAGAAGGAGAGAGAGAGAGAGAGAGAGAGAGAGAGAGAGAGAGCTAAACCCCAACTCAGGTATAAATATCCTCACAACATTTTCTGTTCGCAATAAATAGATTCTCTTCATTTTCTTTGAAGTATTTTTTTTAATCTCCCGACAAAGAGAAGCTGAGTGATGTGTTGATTAAAGCTACCCTGTCTGTCTGTCTGTGTCAGGGTGGTTGTGTGTCTGTCTGTCGGTGTGTCTGTCTGTCGGTGTGGCTGTCTGTTGGTGTGGCTGTGAGTCTGTGTGGCTGTGTGTCTGTCTGTCTGTGTAGCTGACTGAATGTTATACCTCTGTGTGTGTGTGTGTGTGTATGTGTGTGTTTGTGTTATGTGTATGCGTGTGTTTTGATATACATGGTAGAGTATGCGTATGTATGTATGTATGTACGTGAACCGGACAACAAAGACCACAAACGAATTCCTGAAAGGAAAATTGTTTTCCTTATACGGTTACTGGACACTAAACCACTGGCACTGTACTCGACCGTCTTCACTTCCTCAACTGTACATGCAGGTGCCTCGAGTTTAGTTTATTTATTTATTTCCACATTTATTTCTTCTTTCCTTTAAACGAAATTTATTCAGTTTATTGTCTCTCATTCGTCTTGAGTTGCCATTGGTAGACCGAGGGTAAATTCTGATTGGTTGTAAGTCGAGGTTGAGGTATAGTATGATTGGTCATAAGTTCTATGTGACGTCATTCATGTCAACAAACTTTTTCCTCCAGCTAATTCGTGTTTTGGGTAATGTTGGTGGTCATTCTCGTCTGTCTGTCTGTCTGTCTGTCTGTCTGTCTGTCTGTCTATCTGTCTGTCTGTCGATTTATTGTCTCTTTCTTTCTCTGTTGTCTCGTCATTATTTGGATCTCTCTCTCTCTCTCTCTCTCTCTCTCTCTCTCTCTCTCTCTCTCTCTCTCTCTCTCTCTCTCTTCTTGCAGAGTTGTGAAGGAAGCCAACAGTCAACATCAGGGGTCGGAGAGGGGGAGTGTGTGTGGGGGAGGAAGGGGGAGGGGGAGAAGGGAGAGGGGGGAGGGGGAGCGGAGGGGCAGGGGGCAGAATGAAATCACAGGTGCTCTTCAGGGATCAACAATTACCTTCAATACTAATAATAAATAATTAATGTAGATATAATGAGTAACCAGACCTAACCTGACCTAACCTAACCTAATACATTTCTACTACTTTAAGTGAAGCAGGGTTTGTGTGTATGTGTGTGTGTGTGTGTGTGTGTGTGTGTGTGTGTGTGTGTGTGTGTGTGTGTTTTGATATAAGGCTTGAGAGCCTCCATTTAAGTCTTTATTATTCTGCTTAAGCTGTTACCGTGTCTCCTCCTCCCCTCCTCCTCCCCTCACCTCCAGGACAAGTGAGAGAAAAGAAAGAAGATGGGAAGGGTGAAAAGAGGAAGAAAAGTTGTTTGAAGATGAAGGAAACTATGGAAATAATAATAATAATAATAATATGAAAAAGTAGAAGAGAGAGTTTTAACAAATTGGGCTGTATTTCGTCTGCTTGTCTGTACCACCACACCGTTGCCACCACACCACCACACCGTCTGCCACCACCACACCACCACACCGTGTACCACCACTACACCACCACACCGTGTACCACCACTACACCACCACACCGTCTGCCACCACTACACCACCATCGTATGCCATCACTACACCCACACCGTGTACCACCACTAAACCACCGCACCATGTACCACCACTACACCACCACACCCGTACCACCACCACACCTGTACCACCACTACACCACCACACCGTGTACCTACACCACACACCGTGTACCACCACCACACCGTGTACCACCACCACACCACCACACCGTGTACCCCACCACCACCACACCGTGTACCACCACTACACCACCACACCGTGTACCACACCGTGTAATTGGTGGCTGGTCACTGACCCGTTGACTCTATTGCCAGAGGCTGTATTTTGTCCAGTATAAAAACACGCGTTTGTTTGGTGGTGAATTTTAACAAATCTTTTAATTGAATTTTTGTTTAATCGTCTTTTTGTATTATTATTTTGAGTTAAACATAAAAACGGATTTGTTTTTAAGGTATTCTTATTTAATTTAATAGAGCGATATTTGCCAATACCTCAGGATAGTGTTGCCAACGTGTGTGTTTACTGTAAATTAGCTTCAAGTTCTTTGATGTTTTAAAAGTCATATTTATTCTGTCTTCAGCATCTGAGTTTAACTTGGTATTAATTTTAAATGTTGTTTAGTTAGTTACGCTTGTGTTTTATATTAGGTGCGGCTGGTAGTTCCTCCTGAAGTTAAGTTGATAATGAGTCTTTATCTATTAATCGAGACATAGCTGTTGACCTTTATATTATTACCAGCGGCAATGTAATGTTTCCTTACCACGTACATTGTTTATTATAGTTAATTAATTCATACTATATAAATATGAACTTTGTCAACTAAAAGTGAAATATTATATAAACATTAAATATTTACTATATATTAACACCTTGATTTATAAGTGACTGTATCGAGTTAATATATATTTTGTTGTATCTTTCGTTAATTGTTGAGAATATTAATTTATTCAGATCCATAAAGTGGTATGTGGCAACTGCTGCTGTAGAAATGTTGTAAGTGTTTTTCTTTTTCTCTTTCTCTCTCTCTCTTCTCTCTTTCCTCCTCTCTTCTCTCTTTCTCTCTCTCACCACCTCTCTTCTCTTTCTACCTCTCTTTTCTACCTCTCTTTCTCTCTTTTTAGCAATCGTGTGTGTGTGTGTGTGTGTGTGTTCATAATGTGTGTGTTGTGATAATTCATTTAAAATTATGCTATATTTATCTATGTATGCCTTTCACACACACACACACACACACTCTTTATACTTAACTCTCTCCCCATCCTTACCTGAGATTAAACTCCCCAGTATTACTAGGTAAGCACCAGGCTGGGCGTTGTTCATCCTACACTTTATAATTTGTTTCTCTTCCCCAGGTTAATTGAAAACCCTTGTTATGGTCTGGGGGCTGGGGGGAGTGGGGGGAGGGAGAAATAAAAGGGAAGGGATATGGAGTGAGATAGGAGAGGAGGGAGGAGGGTGGAGGGAGGGATGGAGGGATGGGGGTGGTTTTGTGCATGCTTGTAATGAAGGGTGTGTGTGGGGGGCTGAGTGTGTGTCTGTAATGAGGGGTGGTGCAGGATGTGTGTTTGGGGGTGAGGGAGGAGGGAAGGAGAGAGAACAAGGGGGTGGTTGTTTGTTTATGTTTACAGTGTTGATGAGGGTTAGGTGATGGTGTGAGTAGTAATGTGTGTGTGTGTGTGTGAGGAGGGTGAGGAGGGGTGAAGGAGGGGTGAGGGGAGGGGTGAGGGGGGTGGGGGTGTGTGTGTGAGGGGGGTGAGGGGAGGTGGGGGTGTGTGTGTGTGTGAGGAGGTGAGGAGGTGGGGATGTGTGTGTGTGAGGGTGAGGGAGGTGGGGTGTGTGTGAGGGTGGGGAGGGTGGGGTGTGTGTGTGAGGGGGTGAGGGAGGGTGGGGTGTGTGTGAGGGAGGGGGTGAGGAGGTGGGGGTGTGTGTGTGTGTGGGGAGGGTGAGGGAGGGTGGGGGTGTGTGTGTAAGGGAGAGGATGAGGAAGGGAAGGAGGAAAGAGGGAGAAAGAAGGAATGAAGGAAGGAGAGAGTGTATATGTGTGGGTGTGAAGGAAAGAAAGGAGAGAGGGAGGAAGAAATAAGAAAGTGTTTACAAATGCCTAACAAAATAATGGCCTACACTTTTTACCTCTTAATTAAACTTCAAAAACATTATCGTAATTATTACACTTCAATAACTTCGATAGATTTAATAACGTAATATTAATAAGTCGATATTTGTTTGTTTTACATCATCATTATTATTATTATTATTATTATTATTATTATTATTATTACTATTATTATTATTATTATTATTACCATTATTATTATTATTATTATTATTACTATTATTATTACTGTATCTAGGCAGTGAGATAATGCAGTGAAAAATGTCTCTCTCTAGCTGTTCATTTTTGTCTCTGTCCATCAAGATGTCTGTCTGTCTGTCTGTCTGTCTGTCTCTCTGTCTCTGTCTGTCTTTCTCTCTGTCTGTCTGTCTGTCTTATTTCAGTTACAGTATCAGAGATAGTTTAGTAATTTTAGGAAATATTTTAAAGTTATATTGAAGATGTTTTCGCTGTTTGTTAATGGCGTACAGCCCTTTCCTCGAGCTGTTACAGGCCAGCATCACAGCTTGGCACACCGGAATACACTCACAGCAATAATGGGGCACTGAGTGTCCCGTAAAAGGTGTTTTGTGTGTGTGTGTGTGTGTGTGTGTGTGTGTGTGTGTGTGTGTGTACGTGTGTATGTACGTGTGTATGTATATAAGACGTTTTAAAACTCCATATTAAAAACCAATTTCAGAGACCATTTTTTTCATTGAGTATTTATAGAACGCATTATATCGTCGGTATCCTATTATGAAACAACCAATTACACACACCCATTAATACTGGTCGTCAGATAGGGTAATTATATCTTATTAACTAGGTGTTTATAGCTCAGTTACCTTCACACCTAACAAGCAAACCACTCACTAAGTGTCTAGGTAATTATACTATTATTCACAGTCACTTCACAGTCAGCTCATTATTGTTTACTATCAGTCAGCTCATTATTGCTTACTACCAGTCAGTGCATTATTGTTTACTACCAGTCAGTTCATTATTGTTTATAACCAGTCAGCTCATTATTGTTTACTACCAGTCAGTTCATTATTGTTTACTACCAGTCAGTTCATTATTGTTTATCAGTCAGCTCATTATTGTTTACTATCAGTCAGCTCATTATTGCTTACTACCAGTCAGTGCATTATTGTTTACTACCAGTCAGTTCATTATTGTTTATAACCAGTCAGCTCATTATTGTTTACTACCAGTCAGTTCATTATTGTTTACTACCAGTCAGTTCATTATTGTTTATAACCAGTCAGCTGATCCACTGTTTACCCTACAGCCAGCTCCAGCAAGTACCCGCACTATGTCTTCAATAACCTCGATAAGGAGAACACGGGCGTCATCAACTTTGAGGTAGGTAGAGGTAGAGAGAGAGACTATATTAACAAGATTGAGGTCCACAATTATCCACCTAATCTGAATGGTTGAGTCAGGTCTGGACACTGAGGGAACTGTCACTGTTTACTGCCACTTAGGACAGAGATTCATACACAATGGGAGGCAATTATAATAGGTGATATTAATGTTATATTATTCCTGAGGATTAATCAGTGTGGGCTAGGATAGACTTCTGTCATGCATGTCTGTCTGTCTGTCTCTCTCATATTGCAAAGCTAAATATCTCCCTACAACAGGATCTGATTACTTTTTATGTCTGTCTGTCTCTCTGTCTGTCTGTCTCTTTTTCTCCCCATAACTAACTTCTCTATCTGTCTCTCTCCCCCCCAAAAACTAATCTCTCTCTCTCTCTCTCTCTCTCTCTCTCTCCTACAGGACCTGATCACCCTCCTATCTCGATTGTCTCGAGGGTCTCTCAACGATAGACTCAAGTGGATCTTCACGCTATATGACCTAAACGGTGACGGCTGCATCACTAGACAGGAGATGACAGATGTGGTACAAGCTGTCTACGACCTCATGGGCAAACACACAGATACGCCTGTTGATGAACAAACAGTCGGACAGAAAGTGGAAGCTCTGTTTACGGTATTGTTTGTTTATTTGTCTCTAATTATTGCCGGTGGTTTCTGTTTTATTGAATACTGATCAATTTCCAAGCGCATTAAGAATTCTTTTGTTACCCTTAAAATACTAAACAAAGAAAACGAAAATAGTAAAAGAAAATGGTTCCCTAGATACATTTTAACAGGAACTTTAGTAAATTAAATGAAATTAAATATATATGAGACGAGTACCATGTGACTATTAACTATTTATGACATTATTATTAGAATTAGTAGGTCAAAGGTCAGGCTAGCCATTAACGTATTGCCGATGTTGGTAAATGTCCGGATCAATTATGTCTGGTAAATGTCTGCGTTAATGGGGTTTGGTGAATGTCCAGCCTAAGGAGGTTAGGTAATGGTCTGTTTTAACGAGACTGATAAATGTCCGGATTAACGAGGCTGGTAAAATAACAGGATTAACAAGGTTTAGTAAAATGTCCGTATTAACGAGGTTGTATTCTTCACACAGACGCTGGACCTCAACAAAGATGGCGTCATCACCCTGGACGAGTTCACAGAGGCGTGTAGTCAGGACAGCACAATCGCCTACAACATCGACGCCATGTTGCACTGTGACGTCACCGCCCTCAACCCCGGTGACGTCACCACCACCACTACCAACGATGGCATTACTCCTGACCACCCAAGCAGGACGCTCAGGAGGTGACGTCATGGCGGCGACGACCAATCACTGATTACTCGGGATGGGCAGCTGATGATAACGTCACTCCCAGCAGCCAATGGCAACAAATGGATCGTCGGAGATTTCAGATTTCTTTAAATTCTCTCATTTCTTTCTTTCATTTCATCTCTGGGGACATTTATTATTTAATTATTTTTATCAAACTGGTAAAAGTGAGGTTTTATGGTGTTGTAAATAAGAGAGACGGAGTATTTGTGTTTGTTTTTGATGGACGCTTCGAGGTGGGACTGCTGACCACGTGAGGCTGAGGCTCCCTGCTGACACTGACCCATTACTTGAACTATTATTTATATTAAGACTTTTTAGCTGATTCTTCGAGAACATTATTTATTATTATTATTATTATTATTATTATTATTATTGTTATTGTTATTATTATTATTATTATTATTATTATTATTATTATTATTATTATTATTATTATTATTCCTCCTAACGACAGATATCCCTCAACTAACAAACAACCTAATTAGATGGTTCACCTTTAGGGTAATTATGACCGTAATTAAGGTTGAGAATTAGAGTAAAATTTATTATTGTTTATATTTTTTATCTCAAGTTAAATAATGAAGTGACTAATTAGAGGTTATTTACGAGGAATAATTTTTGTATAAGTTTTCGTCAATCTTTGCGAAGTAATGTCAAGTGTTGGATCACCTGAAGATTAGTCCCCTAGCTTATTTCACCTGATAATTAGTCCCCTAGCTTATTTCACCTGATAATTAGTCCTCTAGCTTAATTCACCTGATGATTAAACACCTTAACACTAACCCAAGCTAATACTAACCTGATCTAAAACTAACCTACCCTTACCTAATTAAGCCACCCTAACACTAACCTAACCCAACTCTAACTTAACCTCCCCCCCCCCTTAAGCTAACTCACTTCTAACTTATAATCACAACTTAACTACACCTAACACTAACTAAACGTAACCTAACCCTAACCAAACCTAACCTAGCTCCTCAGGTAGGATTAGAGAGGTCAATCCCCGGGACCATAATCTAGGGTGGGGGGTTAATCTTCAGGTAAGGTCACAGGGTTTGTCTCACGGAGTCTTACCTTCACTGGCAACCTCCCAGACGCCTTGTAAATACTTCACAAAACTATATATTTGTCTACAGGCTTCACCGCTCTGTTACTTATGACTACTACCGTTACTGACTACCGTTACTGGCTACTGTTACTTAACTCTGGGTGTTATTCTGTGTCTAACTCGTCACATGAGTCCATAAGTTATTTCTGTTGTGACGTGGTTCCTGTTCTTTACATGTTGTGACTCGTTGGTGTCGTGGTTTAAGGCATCACCTCAAGATCACACACCTTGGTTTATATCACCTGACATATAAACACCCTAACCTAACCTAACGTAATGTAACCTAATCTAACCTAACCTAACCTATCCCAACGCTAATCAAACCTAACCTAACCTTACCCTCCCCCCCCCCAGGGTGTTTACTCAACAGGTGAAAAATAAATAAACTAGGGTGTCTAATAATGAGGTGATGTACTTTATGTTCACTATGACGTATATATATATATATACTGTTGTCTCTCTGTCTCTCTCAAGTCTCCCTGTTGTATTTTTGAGACCAAGAGAGATAGAGAGACACATTGTAATTTGGGTGACTCTGAATTACTTCAAATTACTTATGAAACTTCTACTCAAAAAATATTACTCCAATTAAGTACTTTCTCTTCAATTAACTACTTTCTCTCCGATTATCTACTTTCTCTCCGATTATCTACTTTCTCTCCGATTATCTACTTTCTCTTCAATTAACTACTTTCTCTCCAATTAACTACTTTCTCTTCAATTAACTACTTTCTCTCCAATTAACTACTTTCTCTCCAATTAACTACTTTCCCTAAACTTTTGATAATAATTATATTTTTACGAGAGATAAGGTGAGGTTCTCTCCCTTATAGAAAGATATCGTCGATTATATAGCTCTACTTTCTCTTATATATAATAATATTTTTGCGAGAGACAACAATGAGATTACTATTCCTGTTATCAAATCATCAAGCTTATTCTCAGCTTAAAGGCTATATAGTGAGCTGGGAATATAATCAATTTTAGAAAGTATAGAAAGATTTTATTACGAAAGATTTATAAACTGCATTCCTAATATCGGGAATTAAAAAAATGGAATATATTTTAATTCCTGGATAAATTTGGAATAGAAAATAGTGCAACGACAGGTGTATTACACAGGTAGATGGATGTGTCAACTTTCTTTTTTGATAATATCTACTTTTATAATGTAAAGTGAAAGTAATAACAATTTCCTATCTCTTAATTAAGTATTTTAATAGTATAGATGAGAGTAATACTTTTAATAATAATTAAATTTTGAATCTATTGTTAACTGAAGACTTGAAGTAAATTATAGTCAAGAGATTTTTTCACTCCTTTCACTAATTCCTTCTTTTATCTGTTGTTCAAATGTGAAATCAAAATTGTTAGTATTTAGTATTGTATAAAAAAAACCTTAATAGAATTTTATATACAGTTAGAATAAAATAATGAGGCTAAATAGACGAATAAAATAGCATAATAAAGATATATATATATATTCAGTTGTTTATCCCTGAATAATAGTTTTGGACGATGTAAATATTGTTTTTATAATTATTGAAGGAAAATGGTTTAACCCTTTGAGGATGATGGTTTAACCCTTTGAGGATGATAATTTAACCTTTTATAGATGATGGTTTAACACTTTGAGGGCGATGATTTAACTCTGGTAGAAATAGTTTAAACCCTTGAGGAAGATGGTTTAACCCCTTGAGGACGATGGTTTAACCCTTTGACGACGTTAGTTTAACCCTTTGAGGACGATGGATTAACCCTTTGAGGACGATGGATTAACCCTTTGAGGACGATGGATTAACCCTTTGACGACGATGGTTATTTGAGGATGGTGGTTTAACCCTTTGAGGACGACGGTTTAATCCTTTAAAGACGATGGTTTAATCCTTTGCGGAAGATGATTTAATCCTTTGAGGACGATGGTTTAACTCTGATGGGAATGGATTTTTCTCCGAGGGCATTAGTTTAACTCTGATGGAAATGGTTTAACCCTAAGAGAAAGATGGTTTAACACTGAGGGCATTAGCTTAATCCTTTCTAATTATCTAAACAATGTCATTCAGTGCGTGACTCCCTAAACCACATCCTTTTGAGTGTGTGAGGCTGTTGAAGTGCGTTAATGCGGTACAAATACACACTCACAACAGGAAGTGTGTTACGGTCTTGAAGTGCGTTAGTATACATACACACAACAGGTAGAGTGCGTTAGGGTGATGAAGTGCGTTAGTACACATATACACTCACAACAAGTAGGGTGCGTTAGGGTGTTGAAGTGCGTTATTACACATGCACACTCACAACAGGCAGAGTGCGTTAGGGTGTTAAAGTGCATTATTACACATACACACAACAGGTAGAGTACATTAGGGTGTTGAAGTGCGTTAGTACACACACACACACTCACAGCAGGTAGAGTGCGTTAGGGTGATGAAGTGCGTTAGTACACATACACACTCAAAACAAGAAGTAGGGTGCGTTACAGTGTTGAAGAGCGTTAGTACACATACACACTCATAACAAGAAGTAGAGTGTGTTAGGGTGCTGAAGTGCGTTACCACACATACACACTCACCACAGGAAGAGGAGTGCGTTCGGGTGTTGATGTGCGTTAGTACACATACACTCTCATAACAAGAAGTAGAGTGCGTAAGGGTGTTGAAGTGCGTTATTACACATACACATCACAACATGTAGAGTGCGTTAGGGTGTTAAAGTACGTTAGTACACATACACACTCACCACAGGAAGAAGAGTGCGTTAGGGTGTTGAAGTGCGTTTGTACAAATAAACACTCACAACAAGAAGTAGAGTGTGTTAGGGTGTTGAAGTGCTTTAATACACATACACACTCACAACAGGTAGAGTGCGTATTATACATTCGCACTCACAACAGAAGCAGAGTGTGTTAGGGTGTTGAAGAGCGTTAGTACACATACACACTTACAACAGGTAGAGTGCATTTGTACACACACACACTCACAACAGGAAATAAAGAGCGTTAGGGTGTTGAAATGCGTAGTACACATACACTCACAACAAGAAGTAGAGTGCGTTAGGCTGTTGAAGTACGTTAATACACATACAGAATCAGAGCGAGCCGAAGAGTGCGTTAATATATCAATATAAGAACGATAGAAGAGTGTGTTGAACAGAACCCATCGACTAACCATCATTTATTAAATAATTTGTGATTGTAATTTTAATTTATTTTATTTGTTTTAGAGATTTGTAAAAAAAATAATTATTATCGTTTTACCATCATTAAATAAACGAGTTGAAATAAATTGAAGATAATTGACAAGAGAATATTTTAGTCTCTCAACATTTAAATAAATTTGTAAATTAAAAAAAACTGTACTTAAGGTGAACAAAAATCATATCATAATTTAAATAGTTTGTAAATTATATAACAATTAGCCTAGACGGTAACCTTTAATTAAATCTATTCGTAGGTAATTATATTAAAAATAATAATCAAAAAAAGTAATTTTTTACCATTTTATGCTAAGGAATTATATGTCTAAATCCTTAAAAAATGATTTTTTGGGGAAAATTATAAAAATATATCAAAAAATTATCCCCCAAATTATAATTATCTATTTTTTTGTAATTAGTTAATATAAAATTACATATAATATATCCCTCTATATTGCCTGTACTAGAACTATATTTATTGTGTTGTTATTATAGGTGTTACATGTAGTACAAGTGAGATTATAGTATTTCCAACAATGTGAGTCTTTTATTGACTTTCCCTCCATCAGGAAAAAAGTCAGGGGAAAAATAACGGGAAAAAAGTCATGGCAAAAAGTCACGGGGAAAAAAATAATCCCTTCTCCTTTTTTCTGTCATTCATTCATTCACCTCCTCTTTCTCTCTTCCTCTCATCATTCTTTTACCCTCTCTTCCTTCCTCTTAATACCCCTACCCACTCTCTCTCCCTCTCTAATCACCCCTCCTTCTCCCTTTCTGAAATCTCCCTCCCATTATTCCTTCTATCTCCCTTTTATCATCCCTCCCCACTCCCCCCTTCTTATCACCCCTCCCTCTTCTTCCTCTCTCATTCTTCCCTCTCCCTCTATTCACCCCCAGTCTCTCTCTTACCACCCCTCCCGTTCCCTCTCCTTCCCTCTCACTCCTGACGTGTGTGGAAGCCCCGACACTGAGATGAAACCTTATGACCGGTGATAGTGTTTGTGACCAGATCCGCAAGGGGGAAGGGGAAAGGAAGGGAAGGGGGAAGGAAGGGAAGGGGGAAGGAAGGGAGAGGGGAGGCGGGAGAGGGAAAAAATGAAGGGAGGGGAGGCAAGTGAAAACGTGAAGAAAGAAGGAGAGGGATAATAATAATAATCTTGCTCTTATATTTATTCTCTGAATCCTTTCAAAATAAAATAATATTATCCTTTGTTGAAATATTTTCCATAATTAAGACAACCTGAAGATTAAGCACCCCAATATTATTATTATTATTATTATTATTATTATTATTATTTTTATTATTATAACCTTACAGAAAACATAGATAAATAAATATAAGCGAAGCCTTTCAAGGGGTAACCTATGAAAAATAGATTATCATAAATACCTCTTTACCACACCTTGCTGAGCAGGCGAGAGTGGGCTAATATGAGGACAGCGCGTATAGTGGGGAAGGGAGGAGGGCTGGGAGGTTGGGGGAGGGGCTGGGAGGTTGTGGGAAGGGGCTGGGAGGTTGTGGGAAGGGGCTGGGAGGTTGTGGGAAGGGGCTGGGAGGTTGGGGAAGGGGCTCAAGAGTCAAGGGAGAGTTGGGGAAACTATGAAAACTTGGGGAAATATATCATGTAACGTCTTGAAGAAATGGACATCATGTGTTACCTTCTCGTATATTTTCGCTCAAGCAACAGTTTATTTTGGAAACCTTCGTAAAAATGTAGTGACCTTATTTTCGTTCTTATTTTAAATTGTTTCGTAATGTATTAAATCATTATTTTAAGGCTATTTTTATTTATGTTGCTGTTTGTTGCATATCGTTGTGTTTTGTGTTTGTCTGTCATGTCATGGGTTTGTAAGCTTCTTATCCCCCAGGTCGTTCATACTCGATACAAACACTTGAATGGCACTCTGACGACCTCCTGGTATATGTGGGTAATAATAATAATAATAATAATAATAATAATAATAATAATAATAATAATAATAATAATAATAATAATAATAATAATAATAATAATAATAATAATTAACGGTTTATTAAAAGAGCATGGAAGCCAAAAGCCTGAAAACATAGTTACATAATTGGGGAATGGGCCACTTGATTGACAGATAATATACAAGTAACACAAGTGATACAAGTATGATATATAATAACTATGTGGGAAGAAGGTCATAATAGCGGGCATTTCAACAAAGTAACAGTACAAAAAAGTAAGATTGACTGGGAGTGAATACATTGGTTGACTACGAGTTGTTGATAATTTTTACAATGGTTGGGACTGGGCTGTTCTTTTAGCGATCAGAACGTGCTCCTATGGGCTGGATGTGGTTGTGGTGTGGAACAGCAATTCGCGGACGAGGGATCTCGGGTGGAAGCAAGAGCCGGTGTCTAGGATGGTGCAGAAGTTTCATACCAAATTTGCCGATGAGGCCGCGGTGATGATCAGAGAATGCTGGACTTCTCGGGGAAAAAGTAGCGGTGAGCTTCCGTGGAGGTATTAGTGGAATTTATCCATTTGGTGTCCACGTCATCCACACTTAGTACTTCAGTCCAGGGATGGTGAACTATCCACTGCCCGAACAGACGCAACGCAGAGTCAGTAATTGGCCTGTAGGTCTTGATGTAGGAGACGTTGTTCGAGGTAGTTGGTTCTAGTCAATTAAGTCAGCTAAGATAAGGTCAAGGGTATTTTGACCGTGTGTGGGGAAGTTCACAACTTGTGATGGTAGCAGCTGGTCCTCGATATCAGTGGTGTCAATTTCGTTATAATCCCCGCATAGTACTAGCTTGGCACATGGGTACCTAACTCTGAGGTGGTAATGAGGCGATTGATAAGAGTGTCTCTGGTGGGTGAGCGAGGCTGGTGGTATGCCACACAGTATATTATAGAGGCAGTGTGGCGAGGGTGGGCACGTGGCACAACACGTACCCATAATGCCTCCACATCAGCTGGGACTAAAACATCCAGGCGTGACAGATGAAGTTTATCCTGACAGAAGAGGACAACGCCCCCCCCCCCCCTCCACGTCCATGTGAACGAAAGTGATGAAAGAGTTGATATCCCTCAATGTGGCAAGTTTCAGGAGCAATTTGCCACGGCTCGCATATGGTAACGTCGTTGGCAGCAACTGACCGGACTGTGTTAGCGAGCTCGTCAAATTTGTTGGCGAGGGAAGTGACGTTGAAGAGCAGTAAGGAGGGGAGGTTAAACCATATTCGAGGCACTTCAGTGTATTGTTGCGGCCTGTTAGAAGTATGTTTCTCTGGTTTTCTAGTGGAGGTGATGGTCCTAATGGGCTTCTGTTTATGACGTCCTTGTTCGCGGCTACAAGCATGGAATATGTTCAAAGATTTTATTAGCACAATAACACTGTCATCAGGCTATCCCTTCCCTCGTTTTAGACTGTACAGGGTGCGCCTGGAGTGCTTCACTGGTGGACATATGTTGATATTTGTTGTTGTGGACGGACAAAACTGTATTTCCGACGTGGCCTTTAACTCAATGGCGGCACTTTGAAGGACACCGACACAATTTCCATGACGTAGTACACTGGTGGACAACTGTTAATGTTTGTCTAGTCGTAAACACCGCGGTAGTCCTTGTCTCTGGCACTCTGAAGGTCACCGACAAACTGCCACGGTCTAGTACTACACAGGAGTGCCTACAGGACACGTCTTGTCTCACTGAGGGCTGACTGATGTAGGTGTGTGTGTGTGTGTGTGTGTGTGTGTCCTTCACTCACGATACTAATTATTACTATGTCTAGGTACGTTCCAAGGGTCACTCAGTCCCTCCACACACACACACACACACACACACACACACACACCAACGTTGCCTCGGGTCTCTGCAGTTTGGAGGCTTCTGGCCCCAGCACTAAGCACAGTAAAGCTATCGACAGTGCCTCCTGATCCACTATACAGTCAGTCAACACCGCTACACACCAGCATACACTCAGGGGACGGACACTGGCCACCTCAAACACCTTGTACTGTCGTGTGTATGTGTACTTTACCATCACTCTCCCTTTATCTGCATGTATAGACAGTGACCTAACCCAGTGGACAGTGATCGCTCATTACCTGGAGGTGATCAGAAAGTGCCCAGGTGTGGAAATGAGAAGGTAAAGTGAGGTATTAGTGAGTTAGGTGTTTCTCTACCTGCACGTCTCACACCTCTCTCACCCACCTTGGTAGTGACAATAACTGGTGGTGATGGTAGTGGTGGATAGTGGTAGTGGTGGTAAGGCCGACAGTACTAAGATTGTCTCATTGTAAGGTAAATCTAAAGTGAACTTATAGAATTACCTCATTATAAACACCTTTCAAGGCTACAAAATAATGGTGTGTGAAGAAATAAGAGAGAGGTAAACAAACAACAACAAATAAAAACAAACAAACAATCTTTAATCTCGCCAAGGACATCTGTGTACGTACGACTCATAAATAAGTACAAAATAATCGATCCAAGGACAGTACAGTACTTGAGTGCAATGTTTATGTCATGTCCCTCTGTATTAAGACCTAAATTATATTCTCTACCGATATCCTGATCACCTGGACTCCTGAAGAAGGTAACTCCTTATAGGGCCTTACAACCTATACACCCCACCACCACCTCCCCTCCTAACAATTGAACCACTAAAAGACTGAACTAAACTGAACTGAACTGAACTGAGCTGAACTAAACTGAACTGAACTACGAACCACTACTATATCTCTGAACTTAAATTAAACACACAGAAAGTTTACTAAATCTTCATTGAAAAAAAAACAGGACTCTAATTGTGTTTAAAAAAAAATGACGAAGTAAAAATGTGAGTGAGGGAAGAGCAGCATTTGAATCATAAAAGGGACTCTCTCCAGGCAAAGAACCACACCCAACCATGAAACGAGACCTACGAGACTCTGAACGCAACGAGACCACCACCACCATGGAACAGAATTCATTCGAGAACGTGACCAATGGCCTCGCCTCTTCCACCAGCCCCAGAGCACAGGAGAGGAGAGACGCCTTCAAGAAGTTACGACAATCGAGGCAATCCGAGGTACAGTGGGTCTGGTACAGTGGGTCAGGTACAGTGGGTCTGGTACAGTGGGTCTGGTACTGGTACAGTGGGTCTGGTACAGTGGGTCAGGTACAGTGGGTCAGGTACAGTGAGTCTGGTACAGTGGGTCAGGTACAGTGAGTCTGGTACAGTGGGTCATGTACCGCTGTTTTGGTACACTTAAGGTATATATACTGTATTTTAGGGTTTATTTTAAGGATTACATGACCGATGCTCCCTTTACGGTCTGGGGTACTTAAGGGTTACTGCATTTAAGGGGGATTTATTTTTGGGGATTCAATGTTTGGTTCGTAGTTTAGGGATTTTGTTTATGGAGAGTATCTATGTATGTATTTTAGGTATGTTATGTACGTATTTTTGGTATGTTATGTACGTATTTTTGGTATGTTATGTACGTATTGTTGGTATGTTATGTACGCATTTTAAGGTTGTATTTTAGGTATGTGTCACTGGGATGTATTTTAAGACTATATTTTAGGGTTGTAGTTTAATGTTATCAACGGCATTTACAAAATTAGTTGCTCAGGAAATACGTCATAAACTCACGTCACTGGTTGTTATGGATATGACGTCATAAGGTTACGTGATTGGTTGCTAACGAAATACGTCATAAGGTTATGTCATTGGCTGCAATGGATATGACGTCATTAGGTTACGTCACGGATTGCTAAGAAAGTGACGTCTTTAGAACCTGGTTGCTAAGGAGGTGACGTCACAGGGGCATGTCTAAGGTTTCGTCTTCGTAAATGTGACGAATTATGTCATATTTTCTAAAGTTATTCAAAGTGCGTGAGGTTCGTTTATGGTGAGGTTCGTTTATGGTGAGGTTCGTTTATGGTGAGGTTCGTTTAAATTGAGGTTCGTTAATGGTGAGATTCGTTTAAATTGAGGTTCGTTTATGGTGAGGTTCGTTTATGGTGAGGTTCGTTTATGGTGAGGTTCGTTTATGGTGAGGTTCGTTTATGGTGAGGTTCGTTTAAAAGTCTATTACTTCTATCTTTATTAGAGAGACGGCAAGTTTTAATAATTACAAATGACGTGATGCAGGTGTGTAACTCAGCAGGTGTGTATCTCAGCAGGTGTGTATCTCAGCAGGTGTATAAATGCATTTGTGTATCTCAGCAGGTGTGTAACTATAGGTGCGTACCTAAGCAGGCGTGTATCTCAGCAGGTGTGTATATCAGCAGGTATGTATATCAGCAGTGTGTGTAACTGTTGGTGTGTAACTGTAGGTGTGTAACTCAGCTCTACAGTCACAACACACACACTAAAATAGGCTGATGGGAGTTACCTAAGGAAGCCACACAGGTTCTCGAGGCGAAAATAAAGACGTTGGTGAATATAGACCATTTACTGACTGTTTCTCTGTCTGTCTGTGTATATACTGAACCTACCTCTATCAACATATATGACGATTTCATTGAATAAATATTGTGATGAACGCTCTTTTTTGGGTCATAATTGAAACTTCAGTAATATTTTTTACCGTTTTGAATAATTTTGTCGTTTACTTTATTGATATTTAACAACATATACGATAAAGTCTCCCTTGAATAATACGTGGCATCCTATACTATAATATAGAGGAGTTTCCCCTGCAAAATGTCTTCTTATACAGAAAACCTTATTTTAGGGTCAACTAAATCATTTTATTCAAGGTTGATGGATAACATAGAGGAGGTGGGAGGCAACTGAAGGTCTGTTGTGTGTAGTATCAGCAGAACTTATTTTCTCGACAGATAGACTCTATGTACGGGTGGAGTAAGGCTCATTCTCGAGTGTTGGTGCGGGATGTCTAAGGATGATTTTCGTGTGATTACAACATGGTATTGTTTTGACAAGGGTTATAGACTCTGGGTCCGGTGTCCATAGAGGTGACGTACTCCTGACTCACCAATTTTTGCATTTCGTGAGGGGCGACGACCTACAGGTTTACATTTTTAGCGCTAAATTTGGGTGAATTGTTCTATAGCGGAAATCTAGTGCGATCTAGAAACATTAGAGACGAGGCCTTCTATTATAGGGTAAAATGACGCCATGCAGGACTGACACCTGACCTCATCCACTGGTCCGGAGGGCGTGTACAGGTGAGTTGCTCTATAAGGCGCTAACCCGGGCCTGTAAAGGGTGGCGAGTGTGGCTAAGTGGAACTGCTAATTGAGTGATAAATAAAACGTCATGGAGCGTACTGTATAGGGTAGTTAGCCTATACAGTGTGGTGTGGAGTGGGGACTTTTATTGGGGTATGTGAAGGAGACTCCCGTAACATTTGGGCCTTAGAGTTTGTGTGAAAAATTAATTGTGGCTAAAGTACAAAACTTTAGAAAAAATATGTCTTGGGTGGAACTCCGAGGTCTGTGGGGGGGCACCCTGGCTCTAGTTATGGGCCTACATTATTTTTTCCGCCACTTACCAGCCGTTTGGGTGGTTGGTCTATCCAGAGTTAGTACAGTACCTGTGGTGTTTAATAGTGAGGGTCACACTGGATAACACGTGTGTCCGGACCGAGGCTCGAACCCTTGACGTATCAGTTAAGATACTCGTGTTATCAGTGCACCACCTGTCAGCCTCTTACTCTCACGGCTCGTGTCTCAATAACTTTGATACATAAGACTGGGAGAACTGAGACACAATTGATCTGGCGACCGAAATAACCGAAAGGTGAAGTGGCCAGAAATCCCCCCAAAACAAACAGCGTCTGGAGTAGTGTTGGTAAGTAACACTTACTGTGTGGTAAAGAAAATTATATAACCATAAATGTGTTGTAGTAAACGTTATTACTCATATCTAGCGCGTCTCAAGTGTCAGTTTACGCTATTCTGAAATTAGGTTTGGCACCCCTGATGCCCTTAGGAGGCGGGAGAGATTATGTGGCTAGTAGTCTACTGTAGTATTTTGACGCAAGGCTCCTGTTAAGCTACACTGTTCACCTCTTTCTTTCCGCGCACACACACAGGTGAATCTACTGAAGGCTGGTAGTTGGTCATGTGTTCCGGTCACAGTACTTAACATGAGGCTACAGGGAAAGTACCACAGCACAGGGCGTGGTTCTGTGTCCGCAACACTCGCGATAACTTTTCAGCTTTCATTATCAACAACGTTGACTTGGCAGTTACAAGAAATATTCGCCGTTACAAATGATGTTTTACCCTCAGAACAATATGAAAGCCGTTTGTTACTCTAAAATAATTATTAATTGAATAAGGTTTTAAGAAGTTAGCAATTTAACTAAGTTTGACTTTTTTCCATCAGTAACGAATGACCGTTGACGGGACCCTTTAATATTTTATATTTTATTCTTGGTGCTAAATAGTAAAATATCTTCAGAGTACAAATAAAAATTATTTTTTTATATAATTAATCGGAAAAAAGGTATCAAGAAACGTTTATTTAAACAAAGCTCTACATATTGTTATTTGTGAATGTTTCCCTCCTACGTCATCAAGGTGAATATGGAAAATATCAGTTTATATAATTATTATTAAACACATGGCATAAACGTCGTGAGTACGGTTATTATTTCAAATTATATTTTTATTCAATATTTATTTCATTTAACACAATAAATATTTTTTTTTCATTCTGACGTCATATTAAAACACCAAAAATAAAAGCGATTGTACTGCGCGTCTTACAACCTGTTTGTGTTCTATTCACAATATTTTTTATCGCCAGAGCGAATCACAAGTTAAGTTTTGTTTCCCCGAGTGCGGAAAGTATTATCTAACAACACACAATACTTATTATTCCTTAAAATATCAGAACATAAATACGATATCAAAATAACCTTTAAAACGTTCGGCCGTTAAAGTCACCGCCGCCCAACCTGCTACTGCCACTTAATTTGTTATTGTTTGTGATATATGAATAAAATAGAATATTTTATTTTATGTCATAGTATTAATTAATTGTTCTAAAATTAAGACAAGAGGACTTACCATCACGAGCGGGAACATTCATGTTTGGTGGTTACTTCGCTGGCCCAAGATGTCTGAGTTTATTATTTACTGCCCTGTACTTCTCTCCTCTTCATCCCGGACCTTCAGTTCACTTCAGGGTGTAGGAGCCTCACCAGCCATGACTACACAGTGTTTACTCACAAAAAAACAGCGCTAAATCACATAATTATCCGGATGTATTACTCAGCTGTTCTAACTCACAGACGACACGACACTGAGCTGCTACAACACTATGAAAACGTCCCGCCTAGACTTTCACTCAGGGCAAAATTTACAGGAATTAAGATAATAATAATAATAATAATAATAATAATAATAATAATAATAATAATAATAATAATAATAATAATAATAATAATAATAATAAATAAATAACAGAACGCCATCTATCATAGTATTTAATTTTGTGACTAAAATCAACGACTCTAATTTTTGTTGGAGAGTTTCCTTGATTTATATTTTCTTCTACGGACGCTGGTTGATGACGTAGCAGGTCAGCTGGTTGGCGAAACAAAAATAAACATTATGGAGATATATTTCAGAGTAAACATTTAAACATAATGATGATAAGTTATGGTGTTGCATCTAGTAAATATTTTGTGAAATGTTACTCTTATAAATATTTTCGTTTTCTATATAATACTGGTAATTAGAAAACGTACGAAAATAGCTATAAAAGAAAAATGCTGAATAAGATCGATTATATTGGAATCCTAAGTCGATATTTTATTTTAGGTGTGTAGAAATTATACAAATTATAACTCACACCACACCACCCCCTTACACCACCACCTCCCCACTCACACCACAACCACCTCCTCCTAACACCACAAACACCTCTCCACCCACCACCACCACCTCACACCACCCACCTCACAGCCCCTCCACACACTCACCACCACCTTCACACCCTTTCCACCCCCTCACACCCCCCTCCACCCACTCATACCACCACCTCATCACCCACTCTTCATCCTCAGAAATCCATGGACTTTGACGACCTCCTACCACACGTCGGGGAGTTTGGCAGATACCAGAAGCTCCTCATCTTCCTCATCTGCCTGCCGGCGTGTATCCCCTGCGGCTTCCACGCCTTCAACCAGCTGTTTATGAGTCCGTCTCCGCCCCACTGGTGCCGCGTGCCTGAACTAGAGGGACTGGGGCTAACGGTACAAGAGGTCAGGAACTTATCCATACCTTGGGTGAGTAAAGTGATTATTATTATTATTATTATTATTATTATTATTATTATTATTATTATTATTATTATTATTATTATTTTTATTTTTTATTTTTTATTTTTTTTATTTTTTTATTTTTTTATTTTTATTATTATTATTATCACCACTATCCCCATCATCACCATCACCATCACCATCACTATCATCACCATCACTACTAAAACAACTAATACCCAACACCTCGTGAGCCAGGAAGGTGGTGGGTACAGCCAGTGTTCCCAGTACCAGCTGCCCAACAACTACACGCCTGAGTGGCCCTTGGAGGAGCCTCGCCCCGCCTGGCCTGTGGTCCCGTGTACGAGTGGCTGGATCTACAACACCACCATCATCTATTCCTCTATCGTGATTGATGTGAGTTGATGATGGATGGTTGGATGGAGAGATTAATGGGTGGATGATAGATTTATACATACATATATACATTTATAACTAATATATAACACATTTACCACACCTGTAACTATTATATGACACACCTACCACACCTGTAACTAATATATAACACACCTACCACACCTGTAACTAATATATGACACACCTACCACACCTGTAACTAATATATAACACACCTACCACACCTGTAACTAATATATGACCTTATATAACCCCCACAGTATGACCTAGTGTGTGATAAGGCCATTTTTCCCACTGTGGGCTTGTCTGTGCTCAACGTGGGAGGAATCATTGGTGTTTACGTCTTCGGCACTATCTCCCGATGGCAGGGTGGGAGGGCAGGTAAGGGAAGGTGGGAGGGCGAGGTAAGGGGAAGGGTGGGAGGGTAGGTAAGGGGAAGGGTGGGAGGGTAGGTAAGGGGAAGGGTGGGAGGGTAGGTAAGGGGGAGGGTGGGAAGGGGAAAGTGCGTGTTGTGGGAGAGGGAGGAGGAGAGTGTGGGAGGAGTGTGTTAGGTGGGAGATGAGGAGGTAGGATTAAAATAGAATGGTGGAAGAACATAAGAAGGGGCAGGAATAAAGGGTAGATACACAAAAAGAGAGAGAGAGAGAGAGAGAGAGAGGTTTTCTGTAAATAATGATTTCTCCTGACGTTCCTCCTCTCATTCCTCCCACCCCCTCTCTCTCTCTCTCTCTCTCTCTCTTACTCTCTCTTTTACACCCTTCTCTCTCTCACTCTCTCTCTCTCTCTCAACTACAGGTTGGGCAGGAGGATATCGTTCCTGGTGTGTCTGGGCATCGAGCAGGTGTTTGGACTCATAACAGCCTTCGCCCCTAACTTCTGGGCATGGCTCACCTGTCGCTTCCTGGTGGGGTTGACTGTGCCTGCCATATACCAGATACCCTTCATTATCTGTGAGTAGATGAGGGTAGATTGTGAGTAGATGAGGGTAGATTGTGAGTAGATGAGGGTAGATTGTGAGTAGATGAGGGTAGATTGTGAGTAGATGAGGGTAGATTGTGAGTATGAGGGTAGTGTGTGAGTAGATGAGGGTATAGGGTAGAGTAGATGAGGGTAGTGTGAGTAGAGGGGTGATTGTGAGTAGAGAGGGTGGGTGTGAGTATGAGGGTAGATTGTGAGTAGATGAGGGTAGATGAGGTGTGAGTATGATGATGGTAGATTGGTAGTGTGAGTAGATGAGGTGGGTGTGAGTATGAGGGTGTGTGAGTAGATGAGTAGATTAGGGTAGAGTGTGAGTAGGTGAGATTGTATTGTGAGTAGATGAGGGCTAGAGTAGAGAGTAGATTGATTGAGTAGATGAGTGAGTAGATTGTGAGTAGTGGTAGTGTGTGAGTAGATGAGGGGTGTGGTGAGGGGTGGTGTGTGAGTAGATGAGGGGTGGAGTGTGAGGTATGAGGGGTAGTGTGTGAGTAGATGAGGGTAGAGATGAGGGTGGGTGTGTAGATGAGGGAAGTGTGAGTAGAGGAATGAGGGTAGATTGTGAGTATGAGGGTAGATTGTGAGTGAGTATGAGGTGTGAGTAGATGTGAGTGAGATGAGGGTAGATTGTGAGTATGAGGGTAGTGTGTGAGTAGATGAGGGTCAGTGTGTGAGTAGATGAGGGTAGATTGTGAGTATGAGGGTAGATTGTGAGTAGATGAGGGTAGTGTGTGAGTAGATGAGGGTAGATTGTGAGTATGAGGGTAGATTATGACTGTGAGGGTAATGTGTGAGTAGATGAGGGTAGATTGTGAGTAGATGAGGGTAGATTGTGAGTATGAGGGTAGATTGTGAGTATGAGGGTAGTGTGTGAGTAGATGAGCTTTATAAAAGTTGTCCTCATCCTCTTCAAGTAGATGAATGGATGAATAATCTATCTATCTATCTATCTATCTATCTATCTATCTATCTATCTATCTATCTATCTACCCGCAGCCTTGGAGTTAGTAGGGCCGAGTTACCGGAGCTTTGTGACGGTGATGACGTGTCTGTTCTACGTGGGCGGGATGCTCCTGCTAGCGGGCGTGGCCTACCTGGTTCGGAACTGGGTATACCTGTGTCTGGTCACCTCCCTGCCCTTCTTCGTCTACGTCGTGTACTGGTGGTGAGAGAGAGAGAGAGAGAGAGAGAGAGAGAGAGAGAGAGAGAGAGAGAGAGAAATTGAAGAGAAAATAAAGGGAGATACAATGAAAGAAATCAATTTATAAACAATTCGATAGCCAAACACCTTACCTCACCTTCACTTTCTCCTGCGCCTCCTTCGTTCTCAGGTACCTGCCGGAGTCCCCACGATGGTTACTCTCCAAAGGGCGTCTTCAGGAGGCCAGGACGATACTTACTAAGATGGCAGAAGTGAATAAGACTGAACTGCCAGATTCCTTCATGCAGAAACTACAGGTGTGTGGCAGTGGTGGTGGTAGTGTTGGCGGTAGTGGTGGTGGTGGTGGTGGTGGTGTGTGGTAGTGGTGGTGGTAGTAGAGGTGGTGTTGGTGGTAGTGGTGGTGTGTGGTAGTGGTGGTGGTAGCAGGGGTGGTTGTAGTTGATGCTGGGGTAGTTGTTTTTAGGTGGTAGTAGAGGTGGTGGTTATTGTTGATGATAATAATAATAATAATAAAGAAATATAACTAAAAAAATATCCGTATATACGTTTGAAAGAAGTAAGTTGCAGAGATAGATAGATAGATAGATATATAGATAGATAGATAGATTTTATCCTGCTTGTGACCTTCCCTCCCATCCATCCCTCCCTACTTTTCTTCTCACCTTCCCTTCCCTCCTTTCTCTCCCTCCCTCCCTTCCCTTCACTCTCTTCTTCATTCCCTCCCTTGTTTACCATCCCACTAACTCCTTTCTTAATTTAACTCCCCCTCCCTCCCTCCCTTCCTCCCTCCCTTACCTCACCACCTCACTGACTCCCCCTCTCCCCCGTGCACAGGACCGCATGATGGCACAACAAGCGCTCAGCACCAGCTCAGCACAGAAGAACAGTGCCACCGGGTTCTTCAGCATGTGTTACACCCCTAACATGAGGCTTAAGGCCATCCTCATCACTATGGTCTGGTGAGAGAGAGAGAGAGACAGAGAGAGAGAGAGAGAGAGAGAGAGAGAGGGGGAGGGGAGAAGAGACAAGAATAAGAGAGTGAGAAGAATATGAGAGAGAGGGGGAAGAGACAGAGCATGTAAAATATAATAAATAAAATCATTATCATAATTCTAATTAATATAAAGAGACATTATCAAGTTAAATCAACAAACATCTGACCTAATTTTATTCAATTTTATCTAATATTTCAATTACAAAGAATTTATTTTAATTTTCAATCTAGATGCGACAAAATACACGTAAAAAACAAAATAGTTAATTTATCCCTGTAAAATATCCATAGTTATTCAGTTTTTTTTAACTTTCATCAATTATAGTGATCTAATTTGAAATTTCCATTTACTTGCGACAAAATAAACGAAAAATACAAAATACTTAGGTTACCCCTATAAATATCATATTTGTTTCGTTTTCTCTTAAGGTTCGCCAATGAAACTGTTTACGTGGGACTGAGCTATTATGGTCCGGCTATGGGCGACGACGAGTACCTCTCTTTCTTCTTGTCCTGTGCTGTCGAGGTACCGTCCTACCTCCTCTGCTGGATTGTCATGGATCGCTGGGGCCGTCGCTGGATCCTGGGCGTGGGCATGATCATCGGGGGCATTTTCTCCATCTGTACTGTACTGATGCCCGAAGGTGAAGAGAGAGAAATAGAAAGAGAAAAAGAGAGAAAAAGAAAAAGAGAGAAAAAGAGAAGAGAGAGAGAGAGAGAGAGGGGGTTAGCGGCCATAATGTTTGCAAATATACCTAACCAACGGTATCTGATGTTCTTTAAACTACCATACCGATTTAACCAACTACCACACCCTTCTAGTCACCTACCATACCAACACATGGCCACTTACCATTGTGGCCACCTACCACACCCATGACCATCTTTCTTCCCTCTACAGGTGCCTCGTTGGCCACACTCGTCCTCTACCTGGTGGCCAAGTTCTCAGAGTCGGCCGCCTTCCTCATCATCTACCCCTTCGCGGCCGAGCTCTACCCGACGGAGGTGAGAGGCGTCGGGATTGGGTTCTCTGCCTACGTCGGGGGCTTGGGACTGGTGATTATACCCTTCATTAATTACCTGGTGAGTGTACAGGTCTGGTTGTGTTTGTGTCTGTTTGTGTTTGTTTGTTACTATGTGTTTTTTTATTCTCTCTTTGTTTGTTTTAGTTTGTGTAATATCTATCTATCTATCTATCTATCTATCTATCTATCTATCTATCTATCTGTCTGTCTATCTGTCTGTCTGTCTGTCTGTCTGTCTGTCTGTCTGTCTGTCTCGCTATCGATTCATCCATCTCTCTCCCCCTCTCTCTGTGACCTCCTTTCTCTCTTATTTTCTGTCTGTCTGTCTGTCTCTCTCTGTACACACACACACACACACACACACACACACACACACAGGTAAGAGAGACTCCCGGCGTCATTTCTCGCTCGAACGATCAAGAATAAGGGAGGCAGCAGTGTCTTCCAGGGCGATACTCTCTCCCTTAGCCTCCCTCTCTCTCCCTCATCCTCCCTCATTCTCCCTCTCTCTCCCTCCCTGCCCCATCCTCTCTCTCTTACCCTTCTTCACCCTCCCTCAACCTCCCTCACCCTCCTCCCTCACCCTCCCTCAACCTCCTCCCTCACCCTCCCTCACACCTCATCTTCATCACAAGTCAATATTATCTTTATTATTGGTGATTATATCTATTTATCTCTTCTTATCACTGTTTATCTTATCAAGTTTGTGTTGATTCCTTTATTTATTATCTTTGTTTTATGTTTGTTTATCAATTTTTTTTATTCTTCTTAAATCTTTTTATTTTTTTTTATTTTTTTCGTATTTTTTGGTTATTTATTGAAGGAATTAATTATGTCATTTTTTTTAAGGTATCTGGTGTGTCTGTCTGTCTGTCTGTGTGTGTCTGTCTGTCTGTCTGTTTGTGTGTGTGTGTCTGTTTGTCTGTTTGTGTGTGTGTGTCTGTCTGTCTGTTTGTGTGTGTATGTCTGTCTGTCTGTTTGTGTGTGTGTGTCTGTCTGTCTGTTTGTGTGTGTGTGTCTGTCTGTCTGTTTGTGTGTGTGTGTCTGTCTGTCTGTTTGTGTGTGTGTGTCTGTCTGTCTGTTTGTGTGTGTGTGTCTGTTTGATTGCGTCTGTCTGTATATAGTTCAATGGGTTACGCTATTTCTTTCTTTCTTTCTTTCTTTCTTTCTTTCTCTCTGTTTCATCCATTATTCTCTCTCTCTCTCTCTCTCTCTCTCTCTCACGCCAGGACACTCGGCGAAACATCGAGTCTACGTCAAAAGGCTGCCAGCTGTGTGTGTGTGTGTGTGTGTGTGTGTGTGGAGCTCAAGTACGTATCAATCTGTCTGTCCATACTGTCTGTCTGTCTGTATTTTTCTTTAATTATTTACGTATCATGAGACAGACAGACAAACAGACATACACACACACACACACACACAGACAGACTTCTAACCAATCACCTTTCATTACTACCATCCCATTGTTTACGTCTCCCAACCAATCACCATTCACCTACCGTCATCAATCCCAGCCAATTCACAACTGTCCTCCTCTACTCGTGTTCTCCAGGGCACGGAGATGTTGGTACTGCCACTTCTCATCATGGGCGTGGTCTCTGCTCTAGGGGGCGTGTTAACCTTCCGTCTGCCTGAGACGCTCCAGCAGAAGTTACCCAACACGATGGCTGAAGGCGAGGCGTTTGGTCACGACTTCTCCTGGCAAGAATGTTGGGCCTGTGTCCCTGAGATGTGAGTACTGTTTGTCTGTCTGTCTGTCTGTTTGTCTGTCTTTCTGTCTGTCTGTCTGTCTGTTTGTCTGTCTGCCTGTCTGTCTGTCTGTCTTTCTGTCTGTCTGTCTGTCTGTCTGTCTGTCTACCTCCTTTTCTGGCCTGTGTTCTTGACAGATGAGTACTGTCTATCTGCCTGTCTCCCTCCTGTCTGTCTGGCTGGCAGACCGAGAGAATAAATACAGATACAAACAGAAACAGAAAAAAACAGACAGACAGACAGACAGTAATCATTGCCTCAGAACTCATCAACCATCACAAAATTTAGATCAGCGATTATTATGGCTTCTTGAACCCCGATTGAATCTCTCTCTCTCTCTCTCTCTCTCTCTCTCTCTAGTTCATCTATCTATCTATCTATATATCTCTTTCTCTCATTCTTTGTCTTTTATCTCTCTTCTTTTTTCTTTTTCTCTCGTTTTAAGTTTTGTAGCAGATAAAAAATTTCGTTGATATGAGAGAGAGAGGAGAGAGAGAGAGAGAGAGAGAGAGAGAGAGAGAGAGCGAGAGAGAGAGAGAGAGAGAGAGAGAGAGAGAGAGAGAGAGAGAGAGAGAGAGAGAGAGAGATTGTGTATTTCTATGATGGTGCTGTTAAGCATAATTTTTATTTATTATTTCCATCTATCATCATTATCATAATCATTAACCACCGCCGCCACCACCACCACCACCACCACCACCACTACCACCATCACCTCACCTCACCACCACCACCACCACCACCACCACTACCACCATCACCTCCCACCACCCCACCCACCACCACCACCACCACCACTCACCACCTCCACCACCACCACCACCTCACCACCACCTCCACCACCACCACCACCACCACCACCACCACTGCTTTCACCACCTCACCTCCACCACCACCACCACACCACACCACCACCACCACCACCACACTACACCAGCCACCACCACCACCATGGGACCACCACCTCACTGACCTCCATCCCACGCCAACCCAAACCAACCACTACTCACCACCACCACCACACCACACCTCATGCACCACCACCACCACCACCACCACCACCACCATCACCACCACCACCACCACCTCATGCACCACCACCACCACCTCCGCCCATGCACCACCACCACCTCACCTCACTCACCACTACATGCGCGTAATCTTCACCTCCACCACCACCACCACTCATGTACCACCAACACCACTCACCACCACTACACCACCACCTCACTACTCACAACACCATCACTCACCACCACCACCATGCACCACTGCTACCACCACCACCACCACCACCTCACTCTCCACATCTTTCTTCAGAAAAAACAAAAAGAATATGAGGACTTCGACCACGCATCCGACGAAGAGATAGACGAGATCGTGTCCCTAGAGAACTTAGGGAGACGTAGGTCCTCAGAGGGGCACGGGAGACCTGACGAAGCCACGCCCTTACAGAGATTCGGTCCACTGGGGTCTCGAGCCAACCCACTAATTAGACAGACCAGCATAATGGACACGCCCATCATCACGGACGCATCTGGGGCTATGAAACTGACCTTCTGGGTGTAGTGGAGAGGGTGTGCAGGTGTACAGGGTGTAGTGGAGAGGGTGGAGGTGTAGTATTGAAAAGGTGAGGGTATAGAGACTTTCTGGGTGTAGAGGAGAGGGTGTAGTGTGTGTGTGTGTGTGTGTGTGTGTGTGTGTGTGTGTGTGTGTGTGTGTGTGTGTGTGTGTGTGTGTGTGTGTGTTGAGTGTATTTAACTTATTAACTGAGTGTCTAAGTTGATCTAACCTCTGACCTTGGTTGCTGACATTGGTCCTGACGTTGATTGTAACGTTGGGTCCTGACGTTGGTTGCTGACGTTGGGTACTGACGTTGGTTGCTGACGTTGGGTACTGACGTTGGTTGTGACGTTGTGACGTTGGTTGCTGACGTTGAGTACTGACGTTGGTTGCTGACGTTGGGTACTGACGTTGGTTGCTGACTTTGGGTACTGACGTTGGTTGCTGACGTTGGGTACTGACGTTGGTTGCTGACGTTGGGTACTGACGTTGGTTGCTGACGTTGGGTACTGACGTTGGTTGTAACGTTGGGTCCTGACGTTGGTTGCTGACTTGAGTACTGACGTTGGTTGCTGACGTTAGGTACGTTGGTTGCTGACGTTAGGTATTGACGTTGGTTGCTGACTTGAGTACTGACGTTGGTTGCTGACGTTGGGTACTGACGTTGGTTTCTGACTTGAGTACTGACGTTGGTTGCTGACGTTGGGTCCTGACGTTGGTTGCTGACGTTGGGTCCTGACGTTGGTTGCTGACGTTGGGTCCTGACGTTGGTTGCTGACTTGAGTACTGACGTTGGTTGCTGACGTTGGTCCTGACGTTGGTTGCTGACGTTGGGTACTGACGTTGGTTACTGACGTTAGGTACTGACCTTGGTTGCTGACGTTAGGTACTGACGAATGGAGGCATAAAAACAGTGATTATATGCCTGAAGGTGCAGGAGACACTACACTCATCCGTCACCACACCCTCAGGTACACAGTCACAGCTGGGTGGACTAAGAGAGCCCCGGGGTACCGAACCGGCGACCCTTAGGAAAAATGATGAGTGTTGTGAATATCTGCCATAAATTAAGAAGCAATAATAGGGATAATTAAGACAACAACAACAAGAAAGTTAAAAGGAAAAACACAAGTAAAATGAAGTGAATAAAAATCTTAAATATAAGTAGACAAAAGTAACTTAGATTAACTTAGAAACACTTAATTCTCACCAATATGTATAATGAATGGTAGATATGTAAGTAAATAGATGAATAAAAGTAATTGCTGTATCAAACTTGTACATAGTGATAAGAAATGCATTTAATTATTATTAGCTTGTAATTCTCTATTCATTGTAAGTTTATTTTTTTCATCCGGATATAGTACAGTCTCATTAAAATATGACGTCATTTTGATGTGGTAACTACTATATAATGATTCAATTTAACGTAGAAACCTTTAAGAATCCATCTTTGTTTCGTAGCTAAGTGTGTCAGTTAGATAGGTGAAATTTTTACTTACGATACGTTGAGCCTAGATACCATTATATTGTAAGATTTTATGCTATTGTCTTCTACACTAATTTATCGTAGGTTTATTTATCATAAGTCTGTAAAAAATAATGTTTATAAAATGCACGTATTTAAGTTAAGGTTTATGATGATGTAATTTTTTTTTTTTTTTTACGAAATAAATGTCAGAAAACGTAGTCCCCCTGTTGATTAAATTTTTAGTTTTCTGTTATACTTATTTTTTTTGTCATAGAAAACGTATTTGGTCACACTAGGGAAGGCAGGAGATCGGTGTTTGTTTGTTTATTGGTTTTATGCTTAGATTAAATTTGGTTAAGTAAAGCTACACTAAATTAAGTTAAGTCAGCAAGAAATGTCTCTCGTATGTGCCAATAAACCATAATAGACACGTAAAGATTCACAGAGGCAGCGAGAGGCAGTTTAAATAGCCTTTTTTTCAGCGCCTCTAATGACAAAAATATGTTGAAGCCTCGCTATAAACACAGATTAAATACCTCGTTAAAATGGTGTGATTGTTGCGTAGTGAAATAGCTCAGTTAAATGCCTCAGTGTGAGTTATATGGCTCTGTTAAACGGCTCATACGTATCAGTTGAATGGCACTGGATGATATATATGTAAAAGTATTAAGAATTGTCTTTAAAGTTAAATTGTAGAACAAATCAATAATCAATAAATACCGGCACTGTAAAATTAATTGAATAGTGGAAAAGTTTATTCAATTCTTCTCATATGATGAAGGGCGAACTTCGTCTGAGGGGCTACGGTCATTATGGAGTTGTCTCTCTTATCTCTCACATTGTCAGTTCCCCTGTCTCTCCTACCATCAATTATACTCATTAATATCTCTATCAATAATTCCTCTAATATTATGATTGTACTGCCTAATTACATAACACACTTAAAGGGTATATTACCACTTGTATTGTGATAAATTTCGCCATTCACCATTTTCCTTGATGACATACTCCACCGGCCAATCATTCGCCACGTTACTCAGTCACCCAATCAGAGAAGAGTTTACTTGCCTCCAGGACAGCTACTCACTTTTTCTGAGACGGCGCCAAGTAACTTGTCAACGTGTGTGTTTAAGTTTTAAAAACTAATTATTAGGAGGCTACGTGTTTTAATTGTTTTATTGATATTGCATTGAACTTACGGTGTAATAGAGATTGCTTATGTGTTGTTGGAAAGGAAAATTTGAAGAAATTGAGCGAATTGAAGTGATTGAAATCCTTGTGTCAACTAACGTGTGCAAGTGGCCATCAACTATCAAGGTTTGTTTTACGGTTAATTCATTATTAACACTATTGTACTTATTACCAACCATCAGTAGCGATTTAACATACTTTATTTTGTTAATGCGTTAGTATTTAACCTTGTGATAGAGTCGTTATTATCAAAATTGTGAATGCAAACAATTGAAGATGTGACACTTGCCAGAACCTTCTGGTGTCATTGTACAGGGGTACCTAGTGACAGCACTAGGATCCCCGTCCCTCTATTAAGGAATAAACTATTGAAATTGGTGTAGGAAGCGCTTGTGATTGGTGGGTTGAATAGCGTGAACGTCTGCTGAGACGCTGTTGCTATTGTGTACAGTTCTTTAATGCGACCTTTTAATTAAATGTCTAATTTTGTAAATATTAAATAAACGTCGTTCTGTGCGGTAATTATGTTGTTATTAAGAGGCAAGAAGGTGATTTATGTCAGGTTTAGGTCAAATACACAATGACAAAAAATATGAAAATTGTTGTCCTTGTTCGACTAGGAAAAACTGTCTTGTCATTGGTAGATAATTATTTAAAATATGAAAATAAGGGAGTTGGGATAATAGTCATTGGTGGGTCAGAGTCGACAACTTAGGAAAAATAAATGAAAATATTTAGTATGTAACCGTTCAGTGATCCCAGTCCCTCTCCTCCAACTCTTCCCCCGCTTCCCACGCTGGCACGAGTACCACCTCCATCAAGATACCTCTCATCCCCCCCTCCTCCACCTCTATCTCCTCCTCCTCCTCGGTAACCCAGTCCTCACTCTCCGGGTCGTACAACCAACCCTCCTCCCTGTACCACTCACCGTACCAATCTTCATTGATAGGGTACCAGTCATCGGACATAGGGTAATCGTTATCGTGCATAGGGAACCACACAGTACCGCCCTCGAACTCGTACCATCCCATTTCGGTCCATTCGTCGTCCTGGTTGTCGATGTCGAGGTGGTGGATGAGAGAGGTGTTCTCGGGTATGGTGAGGTCTTCCATCACCAGGTTGACCCGCCAGCAGGTACACTCACCACCCAGGTCTATACTAAGTGAACTGTTCATAAGTTCTTGTTGAGTTTAATTTAATATAATTATTGTGATAGAGAACTTTTGTTTGTGATGGTGTTTAGGTATTATTTCGCTTACTTAAATAAGATTATTACCTGGTGTGGAGAACAAACCTTAGCACATACACACACAGGTAGACGGACATACACAAATATACTAGCAATTGATGATAATGATGATCCTCCCTCACTCTTGTCCTTCCTTCCTCTCTCTTGCCCTCTCTTCCTCTCTCTCTCCCTCTTGTCCTCTCTCCCTCCCCCCTCTCTCCCTCCCCCTTGTCCTCTCTCTCTCTCCCTCTTGTCCTCTCTCTCTCCCTCTTGTCCTCTCTCCCTCCCTCCTTCACAAAGGCTGTACCAAATACTAATTAAATTACCCACAAAGACTTGTTCTCCCTCCTCGTTTACTCTCCCTTGCCCACTCTTCTTTACTCTCCCTCGTTCTCTCTTCTCCCTTACTGTCTCTCACTCTTTTCCCTCACTTTTCTCCCTCGCTAACTCACTCTTTCTATTATAACTTAATGTTTTCCAGATGAGAGAGAGAGCGAGAGAGAGAGAGAGCGAGAGAGAGAGAGAGAGAGAGAGAGAGAGAGAGAGAGAGAGAGAGAGCGAGAGAGAGAGAGAGAGAGAGAGAGAGAGGGGGGGGTCTTCGCTGCACAACCCTCAGCAACTATAGGACCCACAAGGTATATAATGTGTCATCTCGTCATTAACGCTGTCAAGCACCTGTCATAAAACTGTCACGGCCTGTCAGGTAGGATTGGATAGGTCAACTGGGAGATTGATTCGGACCTGACTTATGTGACCTTTGACCTGACCACGAGACCTCTGGTGAGAGTACGAGACCGCTGACCTTTATACCACGAGACCTTTGACCTAACCACGAGACCTCTAGTGACTACGAGACCGCTGACCTTACCAAGAGACCTCTCCTGTCATTTTTTTAAGAGTGGACTGGCAATCACTAACTAATACGTGTGTTATGGGCTCTCATGATTAGACAGCTGTATGATTCTCTGTGATTAGGAGTGATTGTGTGTGGATTGGTTTAGGTGAGGTGAGGTTAAGTTAGGTGAGGTTAGGGTAGGTTAAGTGAGGTTAGGGTAGATTAGGTGAAGGGAGGTTAAGTTAGGTTAGCTGAGGTGAAGTCTGGTTGAAGTAGGTGACGTTAGGTTAAATTGGCCGCATGACCTTTGTAACAATCGGTCTTTTGGTCTTAAAATGG